TTTTTTTTCGGAAGCTTGTAAAGTGTGAAGTTACGGGGCAAGAGCTTGTTACTTGTTCTAATTTGTATTCTCAAATTTGTAATTGGAGATTAAACGGGGTTTGTTAAATGTGAGAAGACGCGTGAAGTTTGTGCTTAAGTCGCTTATTTTTTTTTTACGGAAGCTTGTAAAGTGTGAAGTTATGGGGCAAGAGCTTGTTACTTATTCTAATTTGTACTCTCAAATTTGTCAACGAGTTGCAGCAGCAATTTGTAATTGATATTGAGTGGACACGCCAGTAGGCTAGATAGTTATTTGACGTACAATCTCAATGACATATAAAAGTTAATGTTTTGAGCATGTTAGACTATGCATTTGGCTGAAGCTTGAAGAATGTGGTATTTATGTGTGTACGTTGTGATTTGTGCATCTTTGTTTAACTCTACTTGTGTGCCGCTTGGACTGTGCATTACTTGTGGGTATGATTTGTGAATGTTGCCTATGACGTGTGCATTTTGTGCATGCTAGAATTTGTGAACAAATATTTGTTTTAGAGTTGTAAATCGGATATTACTGTTGCCTCCTGGGGTGGATCTTTCCATTGTAAACTCAGAAGAATATGAATTATTGGTTATACGTAAACATTTCCTTTTTATTCAATGAAATTGAGGCTTTGTGACTACTCTGGTTGACAGTTTCAGAGGCACAGAGAGTACAGGCAGAAGATCATATCTAACTACCAGGTATCGCTTTATAAAACTGCAACAAGACCAACTTCTGTAAAGACTCACTATCCTAATCAAAGTTCAATTGTTATTTTCTTCCCAGCGCTTGCACAAGGAACTGTATACTATGCAGGAGGAGGATGTTTTCCGCCACTCATTCCTCAGGGCAATCAGCGAGAACACTGAACAGGCATTCAGAAACATAGTCTCTGAGCCTGCACCAGGGATTTTTACGTTTGAGATGCTGCAGCCACGTTTCTGTGAAATGTTGATGGCTGAGGTTATTTATTTAGTTTTACTCACTATTTAACATCCTAAGTTTATTATCTAAAGTAGTTTGACTTTTTGTGTTTTCTCACTGTTTCGTTGGTTGCTCAGGTTGAGAATTTTGAGAAATGGATAAATGAGACGAAGTTTAGGATCATGAGGCCCAATATGATGAATAAGTACGGCGTGGTTCTTGATGATTTTGGCATGGAAACCATGCTTGACAAGCTCATGGAAGATTTTATCCGCCCGATGTGTAGAGGTTGCATTTTATTAAGAATATGTGTGCTTGTGTACAAATCATGTGCATGTCTAATTAATCTGCTGCAATTGAAATTTTTGTGGCAGTTTTCTTTGCTGAGGTTGGTGGTCATATGATTGATGCTCATCATGGTTTCGTCCTTGAGTATGGGATGGATAGAGATGTTGACCTGGGTGAGTGGCCACACCCTCCCTTATCTTTCCCTTGATTTTGCATTTCTTATGTTTCTTATGTGTTCGATCATCTCTTGAAATGTAATTATTATTTTCTCATCTCCTCAGTCATCACATCCTTAATTATCCATGGGATCGCTGTCTTGATTTTAACAAAATTTTACTTTGTTAGGTTTTCATGTGGATGACTCAGAAGTCACCTTGAATGTATGCTTGGGCAAACAGTTCTCCGGGGGTGATCTTTTTTTCCGTGGTGTACGGTGTGAAAAGCATGTAAACACGGAAACACAGTCAGAAGTGAGTAGTTTTATTGCATTTTGTTCATCTTTACCCTGGAAGTAGTTTTCCTTTACATAGATCAATCTATTGCTTATTATCTTGGGATATGACTACATATTGTCAAGTCTTCCACCTTATAAGAAGTAATATTGTTTACCTAGTAATATTGTGCTCAATTTATTTTTTGATCAATGAATTGGACTTTGTATTGGCTTTCGTAGGAAATCTTCGATTACTCGCACGTCCAGGGGCGTGCAGTGCTTCACCGTGGTCGCCATAGACATGGCGCGAGAGCCACCACAGCTGGCAATAGAGTCAACTTATTGTTATGGTGTAGAAGGTACAAACACTCTTCCATTTGCTCTCTCTTTCTCTCTCTCTCTCTCTCTCTCTATATATATATATATATGTGTGTGTGTGTGTGTGATGAACCAACAATACTACGGTAGTGTCACCTTGAGCAGTATGGGGGTCGGTAGATTTGGGTTTCACTCCTCCCCAGAACCCACAGGTACAAAACATTTATAGTTAAGAACATGTATTTCAAATTCAGTAAGAGCAGTGCTTTGCTATAACCATCACCAATATCAGTGTCATGGAAGTTGTCTCTTTGATGAGGTATTTTGATACTACTTTATTTCCTACATAGTATATTAATGTCATAGGATGTCAATTAGCTAAAAGCAAATAGAATCTGTTAGTTCTACTGGAATGAAATATTTTCCTAAAGTTGTGGCGTGCGTAAGTTTTGCTGTCTACTGAGATTCTTCAACCGAGTATCTGAACTATCTAAGCTTACCTGTATGATCCTGCAATGTAATAATTTGTGTTCTATAAGTAAAGCTTGAGTGAAATGTTTCCTCGAATTAGTTCCGTGCACAGGTTGTGATGTGTACCTAAGAATCTTACAGTGCCGGCCTATTTAAATTTCTATAATTAATTTTTGTTTTGTAACTAATGGTGCCATTTAAAGTCCAGGATTGATGTCTATTCCGACTCAGAAAAATAAATTAAATGCAAGTTCTCACTTGTGCAATTCGTTTTGCTACAGTTCAGTTTTTAGAGAGCTGAGAAAGTACCAGAGAGACTTTTCCAGCTGGTGTGGAGAGTGCCAACGTGAGAAGAGGGAGAGACAACGGCAGTCTGTTGCTGCAACCAAGCTGGTATGCTAAAATATTGTACTTGCTTTTATTTTTCATTTCCTTTTTACTATTGTCATCTTCATCATCATCATCATCTGACAATACTGTCCTTTGGAGGTATCATTATCAATACTGTTCCTGAGGCGACTCGTTTTCAACAAGCTCCTCATATTTGACAAATTACATCTATTGAATGGCTCTAATTTTCAAAACAAATACAAACCTTCGGTGAAGTATTTCGATTTACATAGTTCTATGATGTTTGTCTGGCTTTGCAGGAATTGCTGAGGAGAGAAGGGAGCTTTGGTTCTTGAGCCTTTTTTCATCAATTTGCTTCATCACTACGTAGTTAACTGTTGATATGCCTAACCATCAGAGAAAAATATTGCACCCCCCCCCCCACCCCCCTTGTGAATATGATGTTTTTGTTGTCTGTTTCTTCACCTATCCGAACTCATGTAATTATAAATCGAGTAGGTGTAACATGTCTGGATTCTTGTCTTCACTTGGGAAGAGAGACGACTCGATGATTTAATAAAAACAATATAATTTTTCGCTAGAGTTGTATGTTTTCAAGTATTCCGTGGCGGTCTCCTAGACTTTTTGTTTTTTCTTTTTTTTTTTCATACGATAGAAATTTCATAGATACTACAAACGTACATCTAGAAACGGCCTAATAGCCGAAAAGACGGCTCCCACAAGCTGAATCTAGTGAGATGACGGATCTAGAGGTTCGCCTAGAGCAAATACAAGAACAACCACACAAAAGGAGAAGGAGCTCCCCAACGCTCTCCCCGGAGAAACAAAGCGCTTATATGATAATATGTTACTTACTAATTTATATACATCTTGACGAGTAGCGAGGGGCAAAGTGCTTATATGATAATATGTTAATAATTTATATACATCTTTTAGACACTTCATAGAACAAATTAATGACTACTCTTATACCGAGTACAGAGAGCTTATATTCTAGCTTTGGCAAAAAGATGAAATATATAAAGGTTAATTATCAACTAAAAGTAGTATGCGTGTTTCCAAAAATATAAAATATTACTAAAAGATGAAATTTTGTTGCTAATTTTTTACTTTTCAATAAACATAACCTTTCAAAATAATGTCCATATCATAACTACTATTCCTTTTGATTTAAAGTTGACTAGTAAAATATTCGTGTACTACACGGGTGTTGAATTAAGAAATATATGATAAAAGTTATTGCCAAAATAAATTTCTTATTTAAAAAGTTTGATGGACTAATTGATAAAAAAAAGAGGAGTAGACAATGCAGAAAGTAATTTGTAAATCGTAATTTAAGATAAGAATATGAGAGAAAATTTAATATGGTAAGATTGTTATTTGGCCAAACTAAGAAAGAAATGTGTATTAAGAGCAAAAAAAAAAAAAAAAAAAAAAAAAAAAAAAAACTAAATATACACTTACAAAGTTTGAAAAAGTTGTTTATGTCTAATACCAAACTTAACTCCACAACCAAAATAAATATATAAAGAACATTACGGAACATAGATTATTTCAGCATCCGAAGCGTGACAATCTATCATTTAGGCTCAACATGTTTTGAATTAATATATAGGAAAGGATTTGATTCTTCTTTACCATGTATAGAATAATTGATTGTTTTTACTTCTTAACATTAGATTTTTTTTTACCATAAAAATAATTGAGTAAAATTTCATAGTTATATGCAACTAATGTTGCATAAATCTCATGTTTTACATAAATCTCATGTTTTTATAAAAATCTGATATAATTCAATTATCACAATTTAATAAATTAACTTAGAAGATGATAATTTTTTTGTAGTTAAAAATTTATTGTTCGTTATTTATTTCCGCTATCCGCAAGTGTAATTAAATATCATGGTTATGATGATTAAATATTATCTTGACTAAATAAATTCATAATGATTATGAATTAAAAAATCAAACTAAGAACTGATTTATCTAAAAACTAAAAGCTAATTCGTCTAGAATTATGAATAAAATCAAATTCGAAAGATAAACTATAGGCTAAGTTTTGCTTAGAATTACTTCATGAAACTTTTGAATTCATCCAAACATTATTTAATTTTATCATTCATAAAGATAATCGCTAAATTAATTTAATCCTTTTTCTCGAACAAGTTAGATCGTTGATTAATTGTTATCTATCCATCTCCACGCGTTCTCAAGATAAACAATCAACTCATTATCTCCGAATATTTTAATTCTCTCGTAAGATCCTATTACCCCTTTGTTATGTTTATTCTCTTAATTTATGAGTTCCTTCATTCTAGCAATTAATTATCTCATTTCGGTCTCATATCGATTTTAAATATTCATAAATAGTGGTTCTCTACTCCTACACGGGTTAATCAAAACCGATTATACACGGTTATGTTCTCAAACGCCTCTTAGAGGCTCCCTAAGAGCATCTCAAATGGTGTTTCAATTGTAAACATTGTAGATGCAGTGAGATAAAAAACTTCTCCAACAGTGAGTTTTTACTTCCACTTGTGACGATGTGGCATGAAAGAGACACAAATAAATCTAGAACCTTTTCTACATGTGAAGGCTCTATTAGGCTTGATGAGTCATTTTTTCCCTCTTAATTATTTCTTTTATTTTTTATTAAAATATAAAGTTAACTTAAATAATTTATTTTATACATATTTAGATATTTAACTTATCATTATACAATTATTTCAAAAATCATTATACAATTACTAAAACATGTCTAGTATTTACTAAAATATTAAGTTTGTAGAAAATTTCAATTTATAATCTAAGTAATTGATTATATTATATTTTGTTGTTATTCAATTTATTTGTACCCACTTTATCAAAAAGCATATTAATTTACATAAAGAAAAAAATAAATTAAAAAATTGATATATTTCAAAAATTATACTATAAATTTAATGGTATATATTTTTGTCAAAATTATGTATTAACAACCCTAACCCAACATAGAAAAATAAGGAAAAAAAGAAAAAGATCATAAAATCAGGTGGAGAAAGTGTTGCAGGGTTGGACATTTTATTTATTTATTTTTTAGTAACATAACTAGAAAAGCTCTTAAAAAAAACTTGATGAATATCACCTAGGTGTTGATGAGTGGTAGCGAATCCAATGAAGCTCTTAAAAAAATACTAGCGTTGATAGCTGCACTTAAAAAATATCCGATCAAGAGGAAGACATGGCCCATGTATAAATCTTAGACCATAAAACGAACGAGGCCCAAAACACAGAAGTCATCCCGCGGACAACCCAAGCAAACACCATTAGAGTTATCGATCACCGATGGGCCTAACAATCGGTCACAGAAGCTTCCTAGGGAAGATTGACGATTACTTTTGCCATCTGAATATACACTGATAAAGCTGATAACACTGCCCGAGTTATCCCATCCACTTTTGCATGAAAACACAAGGGGCCACCCTACGCCCCTAGCTGGCACACCACATTTAATGCATCGCCACTTTTATCGTGTATAAATACTGATCATCAAGTCCGAAATAAGTTGGCCAATCCATCGAAAGAAAGCCTAAAAGTGTCAGTCCGATCATCACGATCACCACTATTCGATAGGCAACATCAGTGTCTTGCTTTCTTTTTACGCATATTTATTTTGTTGTGATACTGAAAAGCCACAATAACCCCGATTAAACCGCCTTATAATACATTTACTATAACCGTTGGCGACCTTTTGTCAACAGAATGATGCTAGAAGGAGGGGCGACCATCAAGAGTTACATCTAGACCTTGCTCCTATTAAAAGTCGAGTCCTGATAAGGTTTTTTTTCACACACTTTCTTTTCATCTACTTCCTAAATCCTAATTGAATGAAAGGCGACACAACCGAACCTCTTCTTTCTATCATCGACTAGATGAATGGGCGACTTAGCTGACCCCTGCACCTCCGTTTACATTTTTATTTTGTCTATATTTTCCTAAAAATATCCAAGTATTTGTTTTCTGTCTCCTCTTGTAGCGCCCCGGTTTTCAAAATATCCATTCCATAGATTTTAATCAAGATCATTATTATAATTATTATTGTTATTATCATTAATAGTAAAAATTATCATGATTAGCAAGCTTATTAAGAAATTAATTGAGTATAATCAGTTATTTTTAATTAAGCATAACTCGAATGATTTTAGATAAGCATATATTATTTATTCTTCTATAAAAATATTGATCACATAAGTTATTATTACAAATTAAACTTACTATTATTATTATATCATTAAATTGTGAGCTAATTAATCTAATTAGCAAGAGTTAAATAAATAAAGAAGAAAATAAAGAAGGATTGTAATTAAAACGAACCAAGTAATTAGCATTTTATAAAGGAAGAAAAAATAAAATATTAAGACTACCAAGTTTATAAGGATATTTTAAGGAGGAGATCAAATAACTATTTTTCCTCTCATGCGTTATCTACATCACGACCTGATGGGTCATTACCCAGATCTGAATAGAACCAGTTGAGATAAGCTCGGATCTGCCTGAACCGTCGTACATGTACCTGCAAGAACTCAATGTCGGAAGGAGTTTCGACGAAGAGCATCCGATGCCTAAGTCAGTGTCATGTGAATAATGGTGGTGCCTTTTGTATCAAAACAACATATAATGTACGGAGAATGTAAAGTTAGAGAAACACCTTTCAAAAAGGAGTGTTCTTCCACAATAAGAACGACAGATCAACCAACATATGGGAACACCCTTGGATCCCCTCAATTCCAGGCTGCAAACCTGCTCTTCCAAAAATCAGAGGATGAATGTTATTACCTAGGTGACAAAGCTCATTGATGACACAAGATGGTTAAGGAACATTCTCAGTAGCTGTTGTCAAACGGGGATTAACAACGGTCTAATTGTAGTAAATTTAGAGTACAATCTCATATTCAACGATAAGAACTGTAAAAGGAGATGGTATGTTTGTAGTAAAGTCTTATTATTGTCTCTCTTGTTCTCTGGAGATTTATTTTTCTCCTTTTATATTTAAGTACAACATTTATCCGTATAGTCATCATTACATTTTGAAAGGTCAAAGGCGGCCCTTAGCTGCTTTTCTTGATAACTCGCCACTTGGACAAACGTAATGATGATTTATGCTGAGTTGTCGCCGCCTTACCATGCTGAGGTGGCATATTATAGATATCGGTTCACCCAGTTATAACCGATATGTTGTGACTGACATATGTTGACCGACGTGTGTTGACCGACATGTGTTGACCGACATGTGTTGACCGACATGTGATATCGGTTAAATAATGAAGATGTCGGTTCTTGTTGAATCTTTCATCGTG